ACTAAACAATCAAACATACAAACTGCAACTACGATCTTGGAATATATTTGCCAGTTATTAGATGTATATCATGTGGATAAAATTTAACATACACATCGTTAGTGCTGGACTTAGTAAAACTCCAATAGAAAAACTTATTCCCAAATGATCCCTAATATCAGCACACTCAGACCTTAGTAAATTCCACTGAACACCAATCTTTTAACAATAGGTACATTTATTTGCAAAAAATATTACACATGGAAATACAAGCAAAAAATTGCCTAGAACAGTCCTCATATGCGCCAGTCCAATGTTATATAGTATGTGAAGGTTGATAACAACATGCTCTGTAATCCTAGCCTATCATCATATACAATAAATCCCACTAGGGAAACAATATATTTCAAAGGTTTAACACAAGCTAGGAAAAAAATGATAAAAGTACGGCACCTGTGAGAAGGGGGAAAAAACCACATAGAAGTGACCCAAGTAAGGACCGAAAAGCCTTGAACGTGTTTCACGCTTGGCACAGCGCCAAGCATTATGAATGCTTTCCTATGGGACTGGCTGAATGCGCATGCGCGATGGCATCACTAGGAAGAAGGAGAGAAGGAGGAAAGCTCCCCAGAGCCTGGCGGGAGGGGGACCCTGTGGGTGGGGGCACCCTCAGGGCACTATAGTTCCAGGAAAACAAGTATGTTTTCCTGGCACTATAGTGGTCCTTTAAGTTTAAAATGAAGTGTCATCTCTTTATTGTTTCTTTCTTTATTTTTTTTACTTCATGTCTTTATATATGTTTATCCCTAGTCTGTTGTTTTTGTGCAATTTTCATTCTCTTTCTCTATAGTATGATTTTATACCAGAAATGTCTGTCCCTTTCTCAGCTCCTCCTAGACCGAAGGAACCAAAGAAGACTATAGAACGCAAGTTTCATCCTGAAACATGGCTTTATGATCTTGTAGGTGTAGGGTGAGTGTCAACAATATAGTATTATAGCAGTATCAAATAAATGGAGAACTGATTGGGTTCTCTTCTCAAATGTAATTATCTATTTAATGACCTGTGCTTTCTGGAAAATATGTATGATTTAATACTTCTTACAGATTGTGCACAACATTGTAGTTCTGATATTAATTTAATAAAGCAAATATATGATTAATCCCAACTTTACCAAATCAGCTGTGACTTGACCACAACACATTGAGTCTTATATCCTATGATAAGTATGTTATCGTACAAATAATGCGTGCTCAGTAACAAAGGAGAGCTTTATACAATGTTTTTGGAAGTTAAATAAAATAATAATACACACATTGTTTGAATACAGCTAGCAGAGCATAGAACATGAAGAGTTCATGCAATTATCTGTAATAAATGCTCACATATTAAATAAGATTAACTTTATTAAAACATATAAAATATTATCTTCAGAGTTTTCTTTATCTGCTGGAGTAAAGATATATATATAAATGATAAGAGAATGTAATAATTTAGCCTACGATTAGGAGGCAGGCGCAACACTTGACTGCTTTTGAGTTAAATATAATGATAATAATAATAAAAAATAAATTCTATGTTTAGCCAAATGTAAAAGCTAGCTGCAACCTAAGCATAGTAGCATTCATTATTGATCGAAACGTTGTGCATAAACTAAGTCGCCAATATAATGTTGATGAAGCATTAACACACATAGGCCTTAATTTAAAGAGTTTTCCTAAGCTTTTCAAATGTCAATCAGAATAAATTGCCAGTGCTAGCTTTGTTGAAAAATAAAAAGTGTACAATACAAATCAGTTGTATTTCTTTTATTTTAGTATTGTTGACTTTTT